ATGAGAGGTAGAGCTGGGTGTCGTCAGCATATTGCTGACTCCTCAGCCCAAACCTCCTAACGACCTCCCCCAGCGGTTTCATGTAGATATTGAACAGCATGGGGGACAGTATAGAGCCCTGAGGAACCCCATGCCGCAACCGCCATGGGTCAGAGTTACTGTCCCCCAGCACCACCTTCTGGACTTGATCAGCCAGGTAGGAACGGACCCACTGTAAAACAGTGCCTCCAATTCCCATCCCAGCCAGTCTGTCCAGAAGGACACCATGGTCGATGGTGTCGAAAGCCGCTGAGAGGTCCAGGAGAATCAACAGGGATGCATTACCCCTGTCTTTCTCCCGGCAAAGGTCGTCATACAGGGCGACCAAGGCAGTTTCCGTCCCATAACCCGGCCTGAAACCCGATTGAAATGGATCTAGATAATCCGTTTCATCCAGGAGAGCCTGGAGCTGCTCAGCCACCACACGTTCCAACACCTTGCCCAGAAAAGGGAGGTTTGCTATTGGACGATAGTTGTTCACTAGACCTGGATCCAGATTAGGTTTTTTTAGGAGTGGGCGAATCACTGCCTCCTTTAATGGGGCAGGAACCACTCCCTCTCTTAACGAGGAGTTGATTACCTCCAGGATCCAGGTGCAAACTCCCCTGGCAGATTTCTTTATTAGCCATGATGGGCAAGAGTTGAGTTGTGTAGTGGTGGCACAAACCAATCCAAGCACCCTGTCTACATCCTCAGGTCGCAACAACTGCAACTCATCCAATAAATTATGACATAAGTCCGGAGCACTGGACACAACCATGGGCTCTGCATCAACAGTGGAGTCCAAATCTTTGCAAATCTGAGCAATTTTTCCCTCAAAGTGTGTAACAAATTCGTTACAGCGAGCCACTGAGGAGTCCAGGACCTCCACCGAACCATTAGGTTGAAGAAGGTCCCGGACCACTCGAAATAGCTCTGCTGGACGACACACCGAGGAAGCAATACAGCTGGAGAAATACTGGCATTTCGCCAGCCGTATTGCCACAGAGTAGTTCAACTTGTTTCAATGACTTTAACATAATCATGTATAGGAGCACACCTTTCCACTACAGTAGACTTTTTCATAATTTCCCCCCTTTTCCCAGGACATAGATGCCAGTCTCCTTGTTCAAGCGGCATTGTGTCTTATCAAAGGAATATGTGGCTAAGAGGATGGTAAAAGCTACATACATTTTATCCTGGCATAAAACCATATGAATTGCTTCAAACAACTTTCTCTGTTTTTCTTTGTTACTTTCAGTGGTGTTGATGTTGGTGCAAAAAACCAACTTTTTCCTGACACTGTGTAGAAAAATACATGTACTTCATTCTGTCTGTGGCAACCTCTTTATTCTGCTTCTGTTGATTCCATCTTCTGTCCCAGTAATCTCAGCCACCATTGACTATTTCCTTTACACTCCTTGTTGCTGCTTTTAAATCAATCAGGAAGGTAGTATCACCTTCACTTTACATTAAAGTAGGCTATTTCAACACACTTTAGATGACACTGGGAAATATGGCCTACTGTTATAAGACACTGTCAAGTTTCCCACAGTGTATCTATATTTCAGGCACCAGATTTCTACTGCCTACACACCAGAATCACCAACTACAGAAAATAATTTATCATGCAATTCCAGATCACTTACTAACACTATGGACCAAAATTCTACTGATCCTAGGAATCAAACAGATTAGCAGTCCACTATCATTGCCCATTCTAAAGGAAGGTTTCTCACATGTCTTCTGTTTGAGCAACTCATTCCTGATAGAAGTCACTAGACTGGTATCTGGCCTTGCCTCCTAGTCTATACTATATCTGCTTTCTTCACAGTTGTAGTCTGAATCTTAGGAGCCAGGTACTCTTGTTCACAAAAGTTACTGCAATCACAGATCAATTCATCATTAAAATCAAAGGGAAGAAGCTTTGGGTAAAAAGCTTTGGGCTTGGGCCCTGGATACCTGAAGGATCGCCTCCTTCCATATGAGCCAACCCGGCAGTGAAGATCTAGCCAGGGGGCCCTTTTGAAAGAGCCGTTCCTTAAGGAGGTAAGAGGGATGGCTTGTAGACAAAGGGCCTTTTCAGAAGCTGCCCCCAGACTATGGAGTGCCCTCCCGACTGAGATTTGTCTGGCACCAACACTGATGACATTTCGGCGCCAGGTCAAAACCTTCCTGTTCCAGAAGGCTTTTAATTGAAATAATATTAGCTGTGGGTCCGACGGCAATTTTTATTTATATTTTAATTGCATTTTAATTGCTCTGAATTTTTATTGCATTTTAAATGTTGTAAGCTGCCCAGAGACCTTTGGGTAGTGTGGGCGGCATATAAATGAAATAAATAAATAAATAAATCTGTCTGATTTCTTCCCTGTTTTTTTCACTATAGAAGTGGGACTGTGCCTATACAAATGTCATTATCTTCCAAGGAAGCCTATTAGAGTACAATGTAAAATAATTGGGTAGAACATGTTCGCTCGTATAATCATATTGAAAAATTATTCATGGATAAATTTCATAATTGTACCATACAGATATAATTTCCAATTTTATCTCTTTTTTTCCCAGACAGTTCCTTATAGGACACACAATGTGTCCTACATATCGTAGAACAGCTGTGAATGTTTCAGACGACTGAATTATAAGTGAGTTCTCATTTCAGTGTTGAAATGGAAACAAAGAATCTAAGTATCCTGCAGTCTTTAAATACTTCAAAAACAAAGCAGTTCCCTATTAGATGAATGACATCTATTTTGAGAATTCCACCATTAAGGTGCCTGCATTAAGCTCAATGTACCTTTCTACTGCAGTTCAAGCACTTTATGAACACAACAGCCATCTAATTAACAAAGCAAAACTACAGAATATAAATGTATACAAAAACTGCCATATTTATCTACAGCATATCTTCATTATGAAAGAGTAAAAATTCCAGCTGGGACCAGCAATAACATTTTGGCTGTTCTGTTTGTATTATTAGATTTTACTACTGCCATCTTTCAAATGTTTTATAGGCAGCTTTGCAGCTACATAAAATAATACACATTGGTCTGATTCATTAAACTTCACTTAATTAGCATTTTTACACAGGTGCGCAGATTTATTTGTATGTGAATTTCACACACACGCATTTGAATTGTGTATCAAACTTTAAGTGAAATCAACATTACTGATATCAATCTGTCAATAATAACTACTCATATAACAAAGAAAAGGAACATCTAGAAATTTAAAATAATATTATTATTTTATAAATCTGATATGGTGTCCTAGGTAGTAGTAAACAAACATGAACTCTCAGTTCTATTATATGTATGCATGGAATCATATGAATTTATTTCACAGGGAATTGGGAGTAAAGGGCTAAGATACGGAGTCTTTTTGTTACTTGTTGTTTTCACCTCTCCCAGGAGTTTCAGAACAGTGTACACGAGCTGTAAACTTAATCCTCACAACCATTCTGTTATATTGGTTAGTCAGAAAGAAGCAACTCTCCTGCTGCACAACTCCCTGGTGAAGCAGGAATAACATCACGCATAGCAGCAAATGGTGTCTAATTAACATGTTTCTCCTTTATTTTTGGGTTGTGAGGAACAGGAAAACAGCCAGAGTATGGTTTACACAAAACTTACCTATACAATTTAGCAAGAATTCAAAGCCACAGACAAGTTCAAGGAAACATGATACTACTTTAATGTATATGCAAATAAAGACTATTCTCATCAAATAGTCCTCCATAGACAATGTTTTCAAAATATTTTTAAGTGTGGCACAAGCTTGAAGTTTTTTAAATCCAAAAGGGAAAAGCCATTGGAGAGATTCTGACTGGAAACTTTTAACAACCAAGCAAGTCATACTCTTTATGTATTAACCTCCCTATGATTTTTGTTATCTCTTCTTGTTGCTGCTATCAATTTCAGACCTTTACACTAGTCAGTTTCAAACAGATACATTCAGTCCATGAACTGACTAACACAAAAGGTGAAATTTACAAGTGTAACAAGGAGAAAGGCACAAGCAGGCAAGATTGCTCAGGAATTTGGACATAAAATTCATGTGAAGGTAAAAAACAAAAGCAGAAGAAAACAGTGGTCAACATTTGTCCTACTGCTGCTCCAAGAAATCTCATTGTGGTCATGGAGGAAATCCTCACTAAGAGAAAATGTCAAAAATCACTGGGATTGGAAAAAATGCTGAATATGTGTTACTGTTGAAATATGAAACTGTGCAACCGAGCATGTATATACATTATATACAAGAATGATTGAGTTGTATGTATATTGGAACTTATGCAAATAATCAAATTATGCCTGACATTAGCCAATGGATGTTAAGAGGTTTAACTGCCAGATAGATAAAACAGAGACTAGACTGTTATTATTCTGGTAGTTGTCTGTTAAGATATGTTTGCTATGGTTGTCTATTATGAGTCTGCTTGTACTGTTGTTTTGATCATTTGTCTTTTACTATGTTTGATAAGGAAGATAATATGAAATCATTACAGTTCTGTCAAGCACAAGTCTATACCAAGTACAAACGCTTCAATCACTGTTTATTCTACATATATGTCATACAGTAATGTTCTTCAAGTTTTTACCTTGATCAAATGAATATTATTTCAACTACAGACAAGCACAAAGGAGAATACCATCCATACAAGTTTTTTTTAAATATATTATGCTTGAACTGCTGAATATAAACTCTCATATATTCAACAGTTACATCCCCTCTTGTGTCTATTGTGCTGTGTGTAATCTTATACAGTTTCTTGTAATATGTTCCACCATTTATTAATTTAAAAAACAAACACATATATGTCTTGTTTTCAGATACAGCACTGTATACTTTCATTAACTAATAAATTATTAGATGGCATGCATTATTAGATGACATGCAGCATCAGTTAAACATGAAGTATGAACATGCTGCAGATTATTTAATGGGCAACATCAAAGGATTATATAAAATTTAGAAATACTCACAGTAACATGTTCCCCTGAGTGGATTACCAAGGTATCTGTTTTCAGAGTCACAACTGTGGAAAAAAGAAAGACAAGAAGAAATAACAAATGGGTATTTACCAGACAGTTATAAAGTATGTATCTTGCTTCATTTTTTTCATTTTATCTTTCCTTTTTTTCTAATTTATGGAATCTGGCATCACTTCACAAGCAAGCAGGCATCTCTGTTGTCAGTGAAAGGAAGGGATGATGAAGAGAAAGAGAGATAAAGAGGGAGTAACAGAAAGAGAAAGCGCCTCTGGCCATATCTACTGCTGGATTTTGGCCCTGTACATCTGAATAGTGCCAGCATGCAGCCCATGATGGACTGCCATTAAGGAATGCAAATGTCAACAAAAAAGGGGTGCTATGTCTCTATTTTACATCAGCAATGTCTCTTCAAAAGGGACACGATGTCCTTTATGAGTGATGTGGTTCTAGTTTGGGGGGGGTGTCTAATGTCTGTTATCTCTGGTTCTCTGGTGTAAACCTGATGGCCAAAATTCTGTATCTAATTGCAGAACACAAAGTTAAACAGGCATAAATTTCCCAGGCATGATGCCTAGGCAACAGGGATTGTCTGAGTCAATTGCACAATTGACCACATGGGTCCCTTTGTGACGGATTACATGTTACACCTAAAGAAGTGGCATATGAATAGTACTTGTGTCTTGGCACTACAACTGCTAACACTTGAGTAATGTTGAGTTATAAAAACAGTGACTCCACAAGATTTCAGTCACTCTTGGCTTCCTTCAAAGGTTTAGAAAAGGGGTGGGCTACTAATGCCCTCCAGATGCTTATGGCTCACACCCCCTACCTACCCATGCCAACATAGACAAAAGAGACAGACTATGGGAATTTCCATAAAAAACATCTGGAAGGCCATTGTCACCCAACCTCCACTTAGAAACATCCTAGATAAACATGGGGATGCATACAGTTGAAATGGTTAATCTATTGCCTCTACATAGCTGATTTTACTCATTCCCATCCACATACAGTAAATAGAAGTGACAGATATTTTATTTCAAAATAATGAGTACCATTAATATTTATCGTATTTAATATTGATGGTATAACACAGTCTGCTTATTTCACAGAATTTATACTATTTTTCACTTCTTGTCTATTCCTTTTTTTCTGATTTCAAATGCTTCCTTTGTTTACTTTAAAAATTGGGAAGAAAAAAAATTCCAGCATAATAGCAAGTGATGACTGCCACAGAACCAAGAAACCCACAGATAAGACCATTATTAGGGCTATGCTAGACAAATGACTTTAAAGCCATTATACGTTGTCCTTTTTGTTCCTTTATGCAGTAATATCAACGCTTATGATTAAAGCATACATATTTCATATGGCAAAATCAATTTGCTGCTCAACTCATTGCAAGAGTGAACCACAATCATACCCATTTTATTTTGCTATCTTTGATTACAACACTATACAGCTACTCTAAAAATATGTTTAATGAATCCTTACACTTGAAAGGAAGGAAGGAAGGAAGGAAGATGTCAGAGATGTCTTCTTAGGGGATCCTTTCCCTGCCAATTTGGCTTTACTTTTGGTCAAAGGGACTTTCATTTACATTCAAGCAGTTTCTTCGCTTCTACTGGATTTCTTTTGATTGGCAGACACCTCTGCCCACTTTCCTTTATCACCACTTCCCTCCCACTTCAAGGGACAAGGAAAGTTGAACCCCGTCCTCTTCTGTAAGTTTACTGTAACTTCTATGTGACTAATATCTGATGACAAATTAAATGCTTAGATCATTTGCTTTAAATGACACTAATTAATTATTGCTACTGCTCTGGCATGATACCAAAAGTCCATTTCTGAGTCTAAGAGCACTTTCAAAATGTTAACACAAAGCTGTAGTTTCTTCCAATAATACCCAATCTATCAAAATTATTACCCTTCTGTTGGCTGACTATTAATAGTTATTCTCTAACTCCTCTCTCGGTTCTTGTTGGAAGGTCAAAATATAATCCTGTGAGCATCACTGAAGCCAGCAGCCTTGGGGTCTATCAATAGTTACATCAACAGGCTGCTGGTTAGATGGCTTTTTATTGAACAAGTTGCTTTGCATGTGGTTCCCCATCACTGCCTCATGTACACCAGTAGAAAGTGTTTCTCACCCTTGGAAACAATCAGTTCTGTACTAGTTGCAGTTCCCATCACTGAGGTAGTCCTTGTAATAAATAAGCCCCATTCAGAACTGGGCTTAAAGCATTTCAATGAGGGCTCACAGAGGCGGCAGGCAGGCTTCAGCTCTCTTCCCACTCTTCAGCAAACTGCCTCCTCTCATGCTGATGTTTGTATCACCTCAGCTGAGTGGAGTTGGGTTCAAAATTGATTGGTTCAAAATTGGGAAAGGAGTACGACAAGGCTGTATATTGTCCCCTGGCTTATTTAACTTATATGCAGAATACATCATGCGGAAGGCTGGACTGGATGAATCTCAAGCCGGAATTAAGATTGCCGGAAGAAATATTAACAACCTCCAGTATGCAGATGATACCTTGTAAAGAACCTTGTAATGAGGGTGAAAGAGGAGAGTGCAAAAAACGGTCTGAAACTCAACATCAAAAAAAACTAAGATCATGGCCATTGGTCCCATCACCTCCTGGCAAATAGAAGGGGAAGATATGGAGGCAG